AAAGGGGAGGGAAAAAAGGTAGTGTGAGACTAGTGGGTTGACTAGGCAAAAGAAATCCACACTTCTCTTTGCGTCTTAATCGCTAATATGCCACTCCCCCATCAGGACTACCATTGAATGAGCATACCATGCTTTTATGCACCTGACCCAGCTAGCACTCAGCCAATGAGTGCATAGAACCAGCCAGTAAAAATGGCTACAGGCAACACCACCACTTCCATCAGCACAAAGTGCTGCCCGATTCACCCTTTGTCCGAAGCTCGCTGATTTGCCGAAACCACACTCCCTTGCAAAAAATACATGAGACTCTGGCCCTTTTGGGTCACCGAGGTAAGTCACTGCTACAACATGAATAAAATTTAAAGCTATACTTCAAGCTATTTAATATTTTCTGATCGCTTTAAAATTCTTCCTCCTTGAATGGCTGAAAACACTGGTTCTTGTTTGATCACCAAAGTTGTTAAGTGTTGAGCTGAGTCAGTACTTTCAAGAGTGACCATTTGGGAACACCAGGTACTGTAAGCAACCTCCAACAATCAGAAATGGTTGATAAGACATCAAAAAACAAATCAATCAATCACAATCTCTTTGAGTGAATATATGAACACTATTCTCATGAAAACAGTCTTTGAAGAAAAAAATCCTTTATTTTATTGACAAAGTGAATGAAGTTCTTTGGTAACTAAGAAAAGAATACTGAACTGTTACGTGACATCTGTTCTTCTTTACAGCAGTGAATGTTGGATGATTTCCTCAAAGATGAAGAAGAGACTCAAGGTGACAAATGTGGTTCTACAGAAGGATGCTAAGGATATCATGGACCGAGTGTGTGAGCAATGATGAGATCTTAGAGAGGTTGCAAACAAGGAGGTTTATACTTAATATCAGGAAGAGGCAGCTGAAGTTTCTGGGACACATAATGAGGAAAGAGGGCCTGGAGAATCTGATATTCACGGGTCAAGTAGAGGAAAAGAGAGACAAGGGAAAACAACATGTGACATACCTGGCGGATTTAAGCAAGTCGATGACAGAAGGTGGTCTGGGGGAGGAAGCAGATGGAAGGAACTTGTTGAGAGCTGCAAGGGATAGATGGGGTGGAGAGCCATGATCGCCTAGGTCCTGAAAGGACAAGGTACATAAAAAAGAAAGAAGAAATACATAAATCTTTAATGCATTATTAACAAATTTGTTTTGACATTTCCAAGAATATTTGTTGTAACTATTGCATATTGGGTCAATTGCAGTGTTTTATCATATATGTCACACTTAACTTTTTACTTTAAAAGGCCATTTTGTTTTAACCAGTCAACAACTGGCATCGAGTCCTCCACAGGTAGAACAAGAAGGAAGGAAAATCTCAGTCATAGATTAAACGTCCCACAGACTTAGTTTTGTCATCTGAACACCATTCTCTCAAACCAGGAATCACAGAAGGACATTAAAGATATATATATTTTATTTTGAAATCACTACATTGAGGGAACCACAGTCAATGCCATGTCTTGAATATTTTAACCATTTCACTAAGATTCTTTCACTTTTTTATGAACTTTAGTTTACACTTGGATTAAATAATTTATCGTAGCAGAGATATATCATTTTAACATTCTCTTCCTTAGACTAATTTAATTAGGATGATGTTCAGTAGCTAAAACTAAGGGGTGATAACCCATACCTGGCAGCATATTTCAAACTATTTTTCTTCCCTTGCTTGTGGACACATTACCAGTTATTCATTAGTTACAATAAAACAACCTTTTAAATTATGTTGCTAATTGTGACAAATGTGATGAAACACTAAATAGGATCTGATATACAAAATGGTCCCAAATTGTCAAAACAAATTTGGCAATATCACCCTTAAAAATCTCTGTTTCATATAAGTGAATATCTACTTTAACTTAGTCAATAAATATAAAGCATTCCTTCACCTTTGTCTCTTTTGGGGTGAGGGATGATGATCAGATGTTTGCACTTGTGGAGAGAAGAATGTTAATATAATCCAAGATTTGTTCTCTGGACAACATTTTACACTTAAAGGGGAAGATCATCATATCCCCTAATATGCAAATTTACTACACTGATACTATGAACATGGACCCACATTAAAAATAATACCTGTATTACTAGTAGTAGGAAGCATATTATTTACAGTTCTTAGATGAAACTTTGACAGTTTATTGATTTTTGATTAGTATTCATTTCATCTTAATTGAAATGAAAGAAATACTGAATAAAAAAATTAATCAAAACTTTATCTCACATATTAAACCAAATATTTTCAATCTGACCAAGAAGGAAAACACCTGAAGTTTGATTATTTTGTCAGATTTTAGGAAGTGGGTTGGACCAAGAACTTTTCAGCCACCCTCTTGTATATCTTAGTTTATTCTTTGTTGACTCCTTGTGTGATGTAAGAGTCTCATGCTACAACCACATCATAAGTGATGCTAGTGATTTCAGAAATGAGTTGAGTTGCTAGCTCTGTGCTTAAACCTCCTGTTTTATCCAATTCAGAGTTGATCTTCTAAACTGGTTGTAAGTCAATGGTATAGAGTTCAGTCTGCCTTGCTATTTTACCCATAGCTTTGTGGAAGAAGAGATTGATTCATAGTTTTCCCAAGAAAGTAAACCCAGTTGTTTCCTTAAAGTTTAAAAAATAATGACCTTTACTTTTTTTTCTTAGAATCCAAATCTCATTTAAAATTAAGGACTGCTACCTTAAAACTTCAGAAATTATGTTTCATTATATATAGTTATATGTTCAGATGTCTGTTATGTTGGAAAACAAAGCTAGGAGCTTGCTCAAAAGCAGGTATTAAGGCAGATAGGTGTGTGCACAGTCTTTACTCCCTCCATTTTTATTTTAACAGTGATTTTTCCAATGGCATAAGAAAGCTCACAAGGTCCTCTGTCTGGTAGGAGCAACAGAAAACTGCTTCAGGTCCAATCTACAGATTTGTGCTCAGGGTTTATTCTCCTAGCCACAAATCACCTAAGGTTTACCCATGTGGCAGTGGGGTACCTTGAGGGACCACTGCAGATACCCTACAATTTAGCCTGGAAGTGCTGAACTCCAGTTATTGTGGGTTGCCATATGTGTATCTGCACTATACTTTGTGTGCTAAATGGCTGTTGATCTCATGAGAATTCATCCAATCTTTGACAGATCTTGTTTTTAATCCTGCTAAGTGTCTCACCACCTTCCTCACCAGAAAACCCTACTGGGAGAACTCAAAGTACTGGGTTACATAGTACCAGTAGCATTTATAGAATGGCCTGGCTATAATTACACACACACACACACATATGTAATAAAATATAATGATATATTCAGTAATAAAAAAAACTTGTTCTATTTCTTCCATTGGTTTTATTCATTAAAATTGTTTATGAAACATCCATTTCCATAATTACTAATATGGTGCAGATATATAGTTTCATCACTTGTGTTCAATGTTAGAATTAATACTTGCTGGCCGTCCTATATAGGATGCATCTGCAAGTGTCACATTTTGTGTTGAAAACTTCTTGAACTACTTTTAGCTAGAATTATCATTAACCTCGCCTTCACCAAATGCTGTGCACATTCTATAGAATACTTCTAATGCTTTTGTCCCCCATTTGAAATTTATACAGTAGACAAACTGCCAACTTTTGGGTCATTGTATATGTTTCACTCATTTTAATCATGCATCAATTTCATGTTGCTAAAAATACTCATAGCCAATTGTTATTTCCTAAGTGGAGCTTAATTTTGACAAATGCTTATGGGCTTTTTTTTTTCAAAGGTCTTATCTCATCGATTTTAGCAGATTAAAAAAAAGAGAGAACATTCCAAATCACAGAAACTGATATATTGATCACTTGATATATTTATGTTTTTGGATATAAAAAGATTTACTTTAGGAGCATTTAGTCAGAACATTAAATATTTCTTTCATACAATAATTTTAATTTTTATGTTATTGTTAGTAATCTAGGGTTATGGGTGTTTCTTTTATGGAATAATAATGATGATGATTTTACTAGTAAGTTTGTTTTATGAAAATTGACTTTGTACAACAAATAGCTATGTTTCAAACAAAAGTATTCATTCAGTTATAAAAAAATACTTCATTTTACATGCAAAGGTAATTTATGAAAATTTTCATTGATGTTGTTGGATTTAAATTGTATTGTTTTTCTATATCTGTTTATAATAAATCCTTTCGAGACGCCTAGCAGAGGGCAATAGATAACGAAATTGATCCTTACAGGTGATCAAGGCTAAATTATGCTTAGTAAATAACTATAATAAACTTATTAAGAGTTATCTCCCTTGCCATGCTTTCCTTTTTGTATTGTTAGCTCTGAATTTTGTTATTTGTAATAGATTAATTTAAAGTGTGTGCATATAAATAATTACAGACAAACCTCTCATCAGCAGACTAATAGAGGCGGAGGGAGAGAGGGGGATGGTCCGTTAAAGCTGATTATCCGCAGATAGGAAGGGATTATTTTTGGATTTATAAAAAAAACCGCTATAAACTACCAGTTGTTATGAAATGATCATAATGTAAATACTATATAAACGTGTACATATGGCATAAATAAATATATACTTAATATAGATATATTATCAAATTAACGAAAATGATAATTTCTCACAGGTATTTTCTCACGCATGTACTAATGTACTTTATTGTAAACCTGTCCTTATTTACAATTGAAAGGCCTGCCACCGCTGCCAAGCGGTGACTTTGAGAACTAATACGATTCGTTCTGCTAAACCTGCAAATTTTGAAATACATTGCTGACGATTTGAAAGTTTTTTCCCTGCAGATTTTTTTTGTTTTGCTTGAAGATTTTGTCCTTTGCTTCCGAAGTCTGTTGATTGGGTTTGGGGGGGGTGTCTGTACTTGAAATATTCTGCTGCCTATTCTTTATGTGTAAGTTTTTTTCTTTTATTCTAAAATTATTGACTTCTGTTACTTTTTCGTTTTCCTTTATTTTCCCAGATGAATGGAACAAACATTTTTTCCAACCAGCAGAGAGAAAATACAATAATACGTAAACAGTACTTAAGTGTGGATTCAAGCAGTTCACCAGGGTAAATATAAACATAATTTTGTTTGAAATTTTATTTGCAATTTAAAATTTCATTTCACATAAAAATATTCCATTTTGCAGGCACCTGTCTCAAAATATGTATGAAACAATATCACATGAAACATTAGAATCCTTGACTGAGTTCTGTGAAAGTCTTGAAGATCTTGAGAAGTGCCCCAAAGAATTTGATGCTACCTACTCTGTAAGTAAATTGTCAGTTTTCTTTTTTGTTATTTAATTTCTTCTCTACTAAAAAAATAAGGAATTTCTAAAATTGATTCCATTTTAAATTATGATTTTTACTTAAAAATCATATCACAAAAGAGGAAAATAAAAGAGCAAGTATTGTTGAGAGCAACAAATGACAGGAAGCTGTGGAGAACCATGATCACTCAAGTCCCAAAAGATAATGGCATATAGAATTAAATATTGCAATAATTTTCTGGCAATGAAGTAGAAAACTAAGTCCTACCTGGAAAAAGAATTCATGTTTCCTTTGCTATTATAAAAAAAAAACATCAGAATCAAGATCAGGTTGGCTTTAGTAGGCCCCAAAATATGGCAATTATTTGCATTTCCCTATAAGTTTTGACAAGTCACAACCTTTCTTACCCCAATAAAAGAATGCTTAGATGGTATGGGTTTTTCTTGGTTCTTCATCGATAAAGAAGGTTGTTGTGTATTGCAAGTTTTGGATAAAGATTTTTGACCCCCTTTTAATTTACAGCTCTGGCATTTTTTACTTTGGCTTTGTGAGACTGATTTGTACTCTTTGGAATTACAATCTCAGAATTTTTATTTTTAGAACAGAATCTCCAAATTTATTACAATATTTATTTCTTGGATTTGGTTTTAAACCACAGTTTGAACTCAAATTTACTGTTTTCTAAACTGGTTCGTTAAGCTAAATTGTAAAAATCTAATTATAGTTTTAAACCAAATCAAAAATATTTAAATTTGACATTTGCTGTTTATTTTAGCATAAAATTTAGAATGTATTTATTTTTTCCTTTTCTGAATCTTATAAATTAATTTTACATCCTATTACAAGGCTTAAACAAGCACAAATTATTTTCATTCATTATAATTCCAAGAAGGAAATTCTTCAAACTAATAATGGTTTTATTGATAGAATCAGTGTTATACCTAAAAAGGGGAATGGGCAAAAATACAACTAACATGTTACGTGTCTAGTTGTATCAATATTATATATACTTTTAAATGACTCTAATATCCTAATTATTTCATATATAATGTGAAAAGGAAATCTTGCAAAATTCATAAAGACACAAAATAAAATAAATAATCTTGATAAAACTTGACATGTAATTCCAAGTTCATAATTATATTTGAAAATAATTTATCCAATCCTAACAACTACTTCAAAAACAATAACAGATTTAATCAACCCAAAGTAAAATAATAACAACATTAAACCTGAAGCAGGAATTTACAAAATAAAGCATAATAATATTCCTACAATTACATGAGCGGTACATTTAGAAATTTAGATCAATGATTATACGCACATTTAGTAGAATTTTTTTTGAAGGGATAAAGTTCAATCCAGCAGTCGAACATCTGAAGAAATCCTCTTTTATGCCGTGTATTGACTTGTAGAAACATGACACCAACAACTTGCTGCACCTGTTTATATTTAGGTTGAGAAGTCTGTGATTGGTTGAGGTGTGACCAAACTATTGCATGACATTCTCATATATAAACAAGAGGTCACATCGCTTTCTTTCTCTCTCTTCCAAAGTAGGATACATGCAACATGCTGTCACTTGGTTTGATGAGGTAAGTTACCATTTTCTTCACTACACTCCCCACTGATCTCATGATCACAAATCAGATAGCTTGGATCGGGTCTCTTTACCCTGGTGCTTCATCATAATAGGACCATCTCCATTCTGTGTTGGTGAGTTGTCTCCTGAGGAGTCATAAGGAGTATCTAGAGTTTCGGGAATGACCATGTCTGTGGAAGTATCAGATTGAGTTCAATTATGTGATCACTTTCAGAGGATATATCATTGTTAGAGTCGCACATTGACATACCAGAGTCTATGAAAAGGTGAAGATCTTTTAGATGATGAGGTATCCCATTGACCATTATTGTTTGTGGACTGACAGTGCCCATCACATGACTCACTTGATACCTGGAGTTACACCAGCCATGTGGTGCTTTCACCCACATTTGTTCCCAACTCTGTATATGAACTGATCCTTACAACAATTGGGTGATAATGTTGTACTAATTCCCTTCATTCTAAGTTGGTAGTGATGAATCATTGGTGGGTGCAGTAGTGGGTGATGTGTCATGCTTTGGTGTGATATTATGCCAGTACACCGCATCCATTATTGTACCTGTGTTTTCTTGATGCAATTCTCTTTATGCTCTGATGAGATCATTCCACTATGTTGTCTCCTGCAGGAACGTACGTGCAATGGAAACGAAGTTGGACTCTCCAGTCAACCAAGTAATCTTTAATGGACATATTGCAAAATTGAAGTGTCATTGTCATTTAGGATTTCTGATGTTGGATCTCATTCATAAAAAATGGTTTCCAGCTAACAGCTGACTTTTCTTGAGTCTTGCTGAGGCAGATGTCGTCATATAGTAAATTGACTGGGGCCAGTCAATCAACATAAGATAGTGTTTCCACCATAATAGGTGATATCCATTCCTAAGTGAGTTCAAATTCCAGTTACACTTAAGATGTCTTGTGGCCAATGATTTGAGGCTGAGTCAATCGACTGGCATTTTCTGATCACTGCTCTGACTGCTGCTTTGGATATCGTAGGGCGAACTCGTCTCTCAAATACAGTGTGTGCCTGACATCAGGATGTCCACATTGGCAATGTATGGAACTTATCTAGATTTCAATCACCATTGAAGCACTTATAGGATGTTTTCGTTTGACCTCCTTCTTGATCATATCATACCATCATTGCAATACTCTTGTGAGCTTATCCACACAATTCTGATTTAACATCACTAAAGTTACAATGATCAATAACTTGTACTCTTGGCAAGTGTACTCAGCCACCTCCATATCAGCATCTTACTTGCCACCTTAGTTTGTTCTGGCTTTACCACTGAGCATCTCTGATACCCACTGGTGCAGACATGAGGAGTCCACGAAGAGATGTCCTTCAGGATAGCCTGTGCTGGGTTGATATGTTGCACATCATTTACAGGCCACAGCCAATATACATCTTCTACAACACTTGTCAACCTCCAATGAAAACCCTGTGGCAAGAAAACTTGCATCAAACCACAAGTCATAAGTTTGCCTGTTCATGCATCATTTGCCATGTGCAGAGTCATTCAAACATATTCTGGCTGCAATATCCCCAATTATGTTCTTAAGGAGAGCATCATTCTCTTTGTTATCCCAGCCAGACATGATCAACACTGTTCTGCATTTAACAAATGATGCAGCTTCATGAAGCCAACCATATACAAGAAAGTGACCCACTAGATTTCTACACCACAAGAAGTTGAGTCGCATCATGAACTCAGGAATTGATGGAATGTTAGTTCAATACTTCCAATTAAGAGAATTGTTCTCCTCTTCAACATGCAGACCTGAAATATAAATGCCATCCTGCAACTGCTCTGGTTACAGTCAAACCAAAGGCAGCTAAGTGCTGTTTTACTCAGTCTATAGATATCATGCTCTCATTAATGTAAATATCAATATATGATGATATTTGCCCATTAGATTGACTCGTTTTTTGATAGTGCTGCATTCACAAACCCCATTTGTATCAGACAATATCTTCACCCCTTAAGGGTCATACTTTGAAAGAACCAAAGTGATTTGTGGATATGCATTGTAGTTAGGCCTGCCGTAGGTCAAGGATTGCAACATTGGATCCCTTTTGGTGTCAGATTCTCCAGTGTTTGACCATATAGGATATAAAATCCTAAATTATACAACCAATAGGTGAAGCACAAATAAGAAACACCCACACATAAAAGGATCAGAATTACTAAAACAAAAACTTTTGTACAAATCAGTAAAAAATTAGGATCCCAAATTAAATAAATGGTTTCTGGAATTTGATTGGCCAGTACAGTCATGTGCTATGTTTCCGACTATGTCTGTACATTTAAATTCCAAATGAACTGGTCACTGGATGCTATCCTGTGTAAACAAAATACTTTTGTTTGGAGCCAATCATGTGATCAGGATAACTATATATACACTGATTTTGGGGGAAATAAAAACACAGTAAAAACACAGTCAGCAGCTGGACACAGACCACCTGTGACAGGTGGTTGGATCTGTAAACACCCAACCAGAATTCTCTCACTACCATGACAACACTTCAGTCAGTGATGACTACACATCATTCAAAGGAATATTCGCACAACTCAAACGAATATTCATAGCCATGGAAAAAAGTAAGTCTTATTATCCATCTGTATGTCCATTTCCTTTTAGAACCACCATAATAGGATTTCATGTATTAGTATTCACACACACAACGTTTCTACTAATGTGTTTCCCACACACACACACACACACACAGTCACACATACACTCCGTTAAAATGTGCTTCAGACATGCGCACATATATACAAGCTTTATATTGACCAAGGCATATGACTTTACAAACCACCCTTTAACAAATGGAAAATTTTGTCAAACATTTGAACTTTGATTTTTTATAATCAGAACAAACACTATGTTTACCATGTAAAAACAAATGTTAATATGTACATAAATATATGATTATTTAAATCTGGTTTTCCTTTTGCCTATGTAAAAATATCATTTCATTGCATTATCTTGTATTTGTGGACATAACACTCAGATTTTAATTTTTTTACTTTTAATCTGGGTAAACTGACCCTACAACCACCTGACCACTTCTATGATGTGACCCATATCTTATTGTTTTGGTTGAATAAAGTACAGAAATCAGGTTCTTCTATTTTAATGATGATGCAATGAGTCATCCTGTGCTTGGGAAACTGTACATTGCCAAATTCTATTATTTGCAGTAAGCCCAGATTTTTAATAGTGTCAAGTTAATTTTTTTTTTAGTTTACCAACTCCAAATCTTTTCCAAATTCCAAACTCATAGATTAGGTTTAAAGCACTAGACCAAAAAATGTCCAAAATTCCATTTCATTTATTTTAGTAATATTTATCTCACTTTTGTCTAACAAAAAATATTTAAAAATCTTTTGTTTCCAAACAGGAATGCCAGATACTACTTTTAAAAGATCTGCATTACTAGATTTTGTGAGCCTGTCAGCATATCCATCATAATTGTGCATGCCCTGACAGCACAGAAGAACAAATCAAAAAGTTCTACTACACACTAGAATGCTAAGGGTCAATATAAATCACAAGAAATTATAAATGTCATGGGAGACCTGAATACCAAAGCAGGCTATAAGAGGGACGATGAAATAGTTGGCAAATTCTGACTAGGAACCTGTAATGAACACAGAGAAAAAATGGGTCCTGTGGTGTACAGCAAATGACAAGATAGTAGAAAACACCTGGTTTCAAGAACACCCAAGACAAATATTGACATGGAGAAGCCCAGGAAGAGAAATGAAAAACCATATCTACGACATAACTATCAACATTCAGGAATGCAGTCATACACTGCAAAATCTATTTAAGTACTGACTGTGGAAGTGATCACCTTCAAGTTATATGCAAACTTAGAATGGAACTACGTAAATTGAAGAGGCCAAAGACAACATTGAAATTGCAATACGTCAAACTCTTGAATGACCTGAAGTAGAAATATATGGACAGTGGAAAAAGCAGATATGAGGTTCAAAATAAAAATAGAAACTCAAAGTGGGACAATAAGAGAAGCTTTAGTGACATCAGCAAAAAAGATCATCCCAAAGAGAAATAGACAAAGAAAAAAATGAATGGATGATAGATGAGATACTTGACATAATGAAAAGAAAAGAAAAAACAATGCCAAGATATGGAACAGAATATCAGACACTACACAAAGAAATAAGGAACAAATGCAGACAGGCTAAAGAAGAATGGCTCAATGAAAAATGTGCAGAAATAGAAAGAATATCACAGATGAAACAGATATGCATGAAAAAAATCAAAGAACAGAACAAAAAACATGCACATCAACAGGATGCATAAAATCCAAGGACAGAATGTTGATATTAGAGAAAGAAGAAATACTTAAACGATGGAATAAATATATTGGAGAACTCTTTCATGACAAAAAAAAACAACTGGTAATACAAAGAAATATCGATGAACTGGAAATATTAAAAACTCTAAGTGGAAACAGCACTGGCCAAATTGAACAGAAACAAAGCAATGTAAGAGAACTGTAAAAGAAATGATAAAAGCCTTAGATGATTTCAACATAGATGAGATTACAGAAATAATAAGTGAAATTGACAACAGTGGTGATATAGTGGAACACCTAAGTAGATCTATCTTCATAGCATTGCCTAAAAAACCAGGTACAAACAAATGTGAATTCCATTGAACAATCATCCTTAGGAGCCACATAACAAAACTTATCACCCCAATTCTTATTAGAGTGTGCAGCAGAATCAGACTGGAAATAGGACAAGAACAGTGTGTGTTTGTCAAAGACACTGAAACAAGGAACATGATATTTATGCTCAGAATGTTATCAGAAAGATCAATACAACTGCAGAGGGACGTGTATCTGTGCTTTATAGATTATATGTTCGATTAGGCATTCAATAAAGTATCTCACAAAAACCTAATAGAACTGCTCAGCAACCTGGACAGATTTGGGAAGGATATTAGAATCCAGAACCTATACTGGCACCAAATGGCCTGCATATGGATAGAAAATGAGTTTAGCAGATATACAAAGGGGTGTAAGACAAGGATATGTCTTCTCACTGAATTTATCCAACCTAAACCACAAGGCAGTTCTGAGAGAATTTGTTGTCCTATCAGGATTCATTATTGGCTGCCACAAACTTAACAACACAATGCTGATAGCAGACAAAGAAAGAAAACTACAAATGCTCCTACAGAAGGTACTGAAGGAAAGCAAGAAGAAAGGACTAAACATAAACTGCAAGAAGACAGAATGCAAGGTTGTTAGCAAAAGGATGAACTCAAAATACAAATCAGATATACCAAAATCAAACAAAGACAAAAATTTAAATATTTGGGAAGTGTTTTAACAGAAGGACAGAAAGTGCAACACTGAAATCCAAAGATGCATTGGGATAGCCAAAGATGCATTTCAAAAGCTAAATAGTGTATTAAGAAACAAAAAAATTGTTAGAAACAAAGAAAAGAGTAATGAACTGTTATGTGATATCTGCCCTCCTATATGGCAGTGAATGCTGGACAGTCTTGTCAAAGATGAAGAAGAGACTGAAAGCAAGAGAAATGTGGTTCTACAGATGGTTGCTGAGGATACCATGGATCAAATATGTGAGCAGAGACAAGGGTTTAAAGAAAATGGAAACAAAAAGGAAACTTATATTTAACACCAGGAGGAGACAGTTGAAATTTCTGGGACATATAATGAGAAAGGAGTGTTTGGAAAATTTGATACTCACATGACAGATTGAGGGCAAGTGGGACAGAGGAAAACAATGCCTAACATACTAGATGAGTTTGACTAAATGGATGGCAGGACAGGTTTTAGGAGAAATAACAAAAAAAGATAAATTTTATTAAGTGCTACAAAGGACAGGAAATTGTGGAGAGCCATGATCGCCTACATCCTGAGGGGACACAGCGCATGAAGGGGAACTATTTTAGGATACTGTTAATACCAGCAGAACTATCTTGGGTGATTAGTGTGTAGAAAGTTGATTTAAAATTTAATAACATTAGACTTTCAAATGTAGCCCAATTTGTTACTTGTAGCTCAGCCTAGCATCTCTGTCTCAAAGTAGTCACTAAAATATATTTTCTGAAAGAAATATGGCATGAAAAAATGAAGAATATTTGTCTTTTTGTTGGTGTATTTTGTTTGAGTTCTATAGCTTAATTTCTGTCAAGATTATTATAGCAAAGGTAACTTACTGAAAAGGATGGCTAACTTTCTTTTACATATATATATATATATATATATATATATATATATATATAGTGTGTGTACATGTGTTCATTATATATATATATATATATATATATATATATATTTATAAAGTTAATGGATATTAAAATCATAATGAAGTACTAGTGCTTCCTTTTCTAAGTTAAAATGGCTGCTATCTCTTCAATAACCTTGTACCTTGATATAACATATGTTCTTGGCCTTTATTTTGAATGATTATCTGCTATAAATGTAACTTATAGCTTAGAAATCTTTTGTATGTTTCTTTCTTGTCATTTCTTAGAATGGAGTATTAACCCTGAGTTTTGGAGCCCATGGTACTTATGTCATCAACAAACAATCTCCTAATCGTCAAATTTGGCTTTCATCACCATTCAGGTTGAGTATAATTTGATTTGTTGACTCAATATTTTTTGTTGTTTAACTCTATATCACAATTTTGTGATAATAACAACGAAGGTAAGACATCAATTCAACTTTAAATAATATGAATAATGATAGTAGAAATGTAATTTGTGTTGGATATTGAGTTTTGTAAAGCATATTGAAGCCATCATGCATAGATTCTGGTCATCAAAACCAAATGTTAGCATTTGCATGTATGCTTTGCATCTTATGGGAGCTTAAAACAATGAGTTTCTAAATTTTAAATCTTTATAATTGGAAGGGCATCATTTGTTTTATAGTTCCATGATAAAGACAAATTATAAACAGATGTACCCTGTGCCAGATTTTATCATGTAAGTCAATGAGTTCACAACAAAATTCACATTAACAAATCCATGTTAGTCAAATTTTCAAGACATGATAAATATACCATGTCAATTTCTGTTTATATGTTTTTATTAGAAATAATCACAACTTATTTGACAACGTCAGATTTTATTATGCAACTTGAATGTTTATTATATTTTATATAAAGTGCTATGCAAAAGTAAATGAATCCTTAAGATAATATTTTAAAAAATTATCTTTTTGTCCTGATAATCCACAAATCTTAAACTATATATTCATTAATAAAAACCTTTTATTAAATGAATTACAACCATTTTCAATTTTTTTTATCAAGCTGGAATAAAAATCTTAATTAAAAAGTAAAAATTAAGATGTGCAAATGTAAGTGAACATTTACTCTGTATTATTGTGTCTTAAATGGCTGCCAGTGCAAATATTTTTTTGTGCATGTGTAAAAATCAAAATGACACATGTTCATTTTTTGGTAAGTTTTATATAATTCTATCAACCAATATAACTCATTGTGTATACAAAAGGGTGCAATTAGAGACTAAATTTTAAAAAAATATACCCAGATCAAAAGAACTTCTTGAAGTTTTAAAAAATTGCTTAGTAGCCTTCTCCATCATTATAGCAATGATGGAGAAGGCTACACAAAGGTATCAAAATGATTTGGTGTGTATGTCTCCACTGTTTAACAAATTATTTATAAATGGAAGGCCTTTGGTATGATGGCATCATAATCAAGAAGTGGCTGTCCACAAAAATAACTGCAAGAGCAAGTAGACATCTAATTCAGCAAGCCGAGGTGTATCCTGCTGTAATCTTTGCAGTTCTCTAAGGCTTCCTGGCCAATGTCAGAATGATTTTACATATGTCTACAGAAAGATGAAATCTGAATGATACCAGTTTTCATGGCAGAATGCCTAGAAAAAAGCCTCTGCTTATGAAAAAGCACAAACAAGCTCGTCTCAACTATGCCAGAGCTCATATTAATAAGCTAGAAATGTCCTGAAAAAAGGTTTTATGGTTGGATTTGATCAAACTAGAGCTTTTTGGGAGGAACGATAGGCAGTACATCTAGTGAACTCATAATACTGCTTTTTCAGAGAAGAATTTGGTGCTAAGAGTTAAACATTTTTCTCAAGAAGGCATTGCATTCCATGAATAAAGAAAATGGATTCATTGGGCGCCATGATTACCTGTGTCTAGAAGGAATATGGCATTAATGAAACTTTATGTGGTTTGGGAAATTATTGTCAATTTTTCATTAAATTGCACAAGAAATCTGACAAACACATGAATATAACAAAAAAATTGCCACATTAAATGTAAAATCAACTACAAATTCGAGAAGTCTTAATCATAAAAGAAATTGTCTGAAAGTCATGACTGGGTTCTCCGGCTCGTGAGGCTTGGTGCAGAGTCCTGTTGCCAGATATAGGTTCTTCCAGCAGCCACCCTATTGAACCAGGGCAGAACTACCTCCTCAAGGCACTTAATGTAAGTGTCTGAGACCCTCAGTAACATATTTGGTAGTTCTTTTTTTATCAAAACAATCAGAGTGAGTTTATTGAGCTACCGTACCTTCATAATCACCATTAGACTCATCCAACTCTTTCAGAATCCTCTGCAGTGTCTTCAGATTGACACCCAAACACTCTGAAACGTTTATATTGGAGCTTTCAGCATGAATATCAAGCAGTACAGCATACCGTTTTCAAATTTTTGGTGGAGTCAATTGTGCCTTTTTCTCACTGACCTTATTAGACTGTGCAGTTGACAAAATCAAAAACAATGCACTTTTATTTGTTTTAATGAATCTTAATTGAAAATAATTTACTTTTTATGTTAGTTACAAACCAAAAAAGCAATGAAGCTTATTTTTCAATGATTGAATAAAAATATTATTTTCCATAAGATCGCTGAACAATATTAATAAGTCAATAATACATATACACACATTAATTATTGTAGTTTTTAAGTTTTAACTGGACACACACACTCGAATATTTGAATAAATATTAAACATTTTGTCAAATAATTGTATTTAATATTCTACTTCTTTTAAATTTACTTTGTTGTTTTAATATTAATTTTTTAAAGTGACGCATTTATTTACTATAGATGTGAAAATAAATTCAAGAGAATAGAAATTTTTTAAATACATACTTGTATATAGTTTAGCTGAATAAAAATGTAAAAATGAATAGTAATCCGATTTGAGAATAAGAATTATTATCGTTCGTTGTTACTTTTTAATTCTGAGAATTTCAAATGCATTCTAATGCATTTTAATTTTAAAATGTCTTCGTAAATACAAATCATATGATGATAAATTTTTTTACATTTTGATGATAATGAGTCTGTATTATAAATTTATTTTGTCATGAATTACTGTAGCTTTTTAGTTTTAGCCAGACACACACGCACACATAGATGACTGCCATTTACATATGTATAGATAGATATCACAAACTTCACATCTTATCGTATTTTGTAACCCCTTGTATTGTGTATTGACTAAATTTGGATACTACCTAACACAACAAAACAAACCTAACAATCTCTACTCCTATCAACAAATACAATCAAAATTCCCCATAAATCTCTACTAGCTAATCTAGAAACACCCGAAACACACCTTATAACAAAAACAAACACACTTATACATAACCATCTAGAAATAACAACCCCAATTTTACCAAGAGAAATTCTTACTATCTAGAAAACCTAAAATATGTAGAGAGAGGTTATCTCTTAAAAAGCCTGGAATGTGTGGAAAGAAACAATCATTATTTTTTTAGAAATCCCAGTCCAAACACAAAAGCCAGTTTAGATGACACAAAACCAAAAATAATAAACCTATCTACATATGCACTTACAAAGGACGAAATTAACCTATTAAAATTAGGCATCCAATTTTGCCCTCCCTGAAAAGCAATATAACAGACTGTTGAAGCTTAAATAAGCATGGAATAATACAACACAAAATGTACGTTAACAAAATGTATTGAAACAAAGAATAGGTACACAATATTTACAGTTAGTTTGGTATATTCTTGGGAAGACTGTTCCTGCATAATGGGTTGACTAAATCGTTAGAAACAGAGTCTCTGGATTCAATTTCTTAATCTCTACTATCTTCCCCGTCTTCCGGTACCAACCCATATTTATATGGTCGGTAGTCCGCTTATGTAAATTAGGTGTATCATACACAACACAGACCTAAAAAAAGACCTTAGAGAATCTGAATGCAAACTCAGACTAATAGAAACATTTAATAATAACGAAAACAGTACAAATGACTCAATAGTAAAAAATAAATCCAGATTCTTCCCAAACAAAAATGACTATACGAATGAATTAAACATATTTTTTTAAAAACTCTGGAACCTCAACCTCCAAGAAAAATCCAAATTATTCAAAAATCTCACATATAGACAATGACTAGCTTTAGAAGACATCCAGAGAAATAACAACATAATTATAAAGGAAACAGGCAAAGGCATTCAAATAGTCATTATGTACAAGATATAATATAAAACAAAAATTCTAAAGGCACTAGGAGATGAGAACTACTATAAATTAATCGATACCAACATAGACAAAAATATTATATTAAAAATTACAAAACTCTGCACAACACAGACAAAAATATTATATTAAAAATTACAAAACTCTGCACAACACATAATAAAATATTAACAAGAAAAGAAAGAGACTTCCTGATAAATTTAATCCCAAAAACAAGTAAATTTTTATGGACTAAAAATTTACAAATCAAGTGAAATAAAAGCAGCCATCCAGACACAAAAATCTGAATGTATAAACATCTCAAATCTCAGTGACTTTATATATAGACCCATAGTAGCAGAACCAGCCTGTCCAAGTAGCAGACTCTGTAACTTAATAGACACTATACTACAACCATTTACTAAACAGATTAAGCACTACATCAAAGACGATATACACTTCCTTAGCACCCTACTACAAAAAGTAGATCCGGGAACACTCATGGCAATATTTGACATTAGCAGCCTATATAGCAACATACCCCATGAATTGGGTAAATAGACAATCTCATTCTGGATTGAAAAACACCCAGAAATACAACATCCCAGATTCACCAAGGAATTCATTATTGATAGTATAGACCTAATCCTGAACAACAACAACTCTTTTGAATTTGGTAACAAAAACTATATCCAAACCCTAAGTACTGCAATGGGAATGAAAATGGCACCAATATATGCCACTAAAACCTTAGCTTACCTAGAGGAAAGCCTTTATGAAAAAATAGAGGGAAAATATAAAAACCGACTTAACTAAATCTTGGAAGAGATACTTAGATGACTGCTCCATCTTCTGGAAATCCTCTTAGGTCAATATTAACGAATTACATGATTTACTCCAAAACTTATACCCGAAGATTAAATTCACCCATGAACATAACTTTAACAAACTGCCATTCTTAGATATACTTATCAGAAATAGAAATAACCATATTATCACAGATATCTACCACAAACCTACAGACATCCAACAATATCTTCATTTTAAGAGCCATCATTCAAAAAGCTGTCTAAAATCAATCCACTATGCCCAAGCATGTAGGATTTGCACTGTAGTTGCTGACAAACACCTCTGAAAAACTGACCTAGAAGAATTACATAAAACTCTCAAAAAACAAGGATACTTCACAACACTAATAAACAAGGTTTTTGAACTAGCAGAAAAAATACTTTAAGATAAACAAAAGCCAAAGAAATACAACAATGAGCAAATTCTAGTACGTCTTGACATACGACAACAACAATCCAGAACTATTCACAGAAATAACAAGAAACCTAGAACTACTTAACAAGAATTATTAAATGAAAGATATACTAAAAATAACCCAAAAAGTTAAAAACTAAAACAAAATCAAAAAACCTAAAATAGATATTAACCACATCCAAATTTAGTCAACAAGGGGCCACAAAATGCAACAAGAAAAAATGTGGGGGTTGTAATATAATTATAGAAGGAAATTCCTACACTTTTGAAAACCCCACAACAACATTCACAATAAAGAAAAACTTAAACTGTAACTCCAAAAATCTAATTTATGCACCCAGGTGCACAAAATGCAACAAATCTTATACAAATGTCACTCAAGCAATAAACAACAGAGTTTCCCTACACAAAAGCAACATTAAATTACTACACAACAGAAAATGGTTTGTGTCACAACACATCACAAATTCAACAAATGTAACTTTAAAATTATGCCAATATATTAAATGGACAATTACTCTTACCTCCAAATACAAGAAAAAACTTCATAGACAAATTTAAGCCAACACTAAACAAATCATAACCACACACTATATACACATAGTGTCAAAAAACATTAGTAAGAACACACACACACACACAATGCATATATTTACTATATAGATTTCCTTATAATAATAATATATATGTATGGAGAATGAATATATACACACATACTGGCAAAAACAAGCACATGAGATGGACCACACACACATACATGCACAAACCCTACACACCATACAAAGTGCATATATATATATATATATATATATAAAGAAATATAGTTTTAAGATGTGCTATATTTATGGGATAAAGTGCTCAATATCAGAGATAGAGCATATATAAATATAAAAGTGAACATTGAAGTCAACACTCAGAGGCGACAGACTGTTTCATGCTAGACGCAATCGTCAGATCACGAATGCTGGATTTTTCCTTGGCTATTTATATATATGGGTCAGTGGTGAATTGTAGGTAATCTATTCTGGCGGTTATTTTTGTGGGAGTGACTTGTTTATTTATTTATTTGTTTGGGTTAATTTATTTTACTTGTTTATTTAAAAGATTTATTTGTTTGCATGCAGACTAAATCCAACTTTGAACTTTTAAGTAAAACAATTAGAAAGAATTTTTTAGAGTAAATTTTACTGGAAAAAACACAAAAACTATTGACTCACAAAGAAAATTTGCCAAACAATTAGACATGAAAAGAATTTTAATGGAGATAAGGCCATCATAGCCCAAGAATAAATAAAAAAAATAAACACAAACGAAATAAAAACACTACTGTAAATCACATAATGGAGACATAGAAAAGAAAGAAGGGATTTTTGACACTATAATGGGAAGCTTTGATGGTGCCAACCTGCGAAATCATAGGTATATATTTACTACATGAATAGATAAAAATGATACTCGACTCTACAGGGACGATGGTCTCATAATCTTAAGAAGCTACAACAAACAAAACAAACAAAACTAGAAAAGCAATAATAAGGATTTTTAAAAATAACGGATTGACATATATATAAAAATTAACCTAAACAAAGTAGATTTTCTAGATGTTATCTTCAACTTAAGAAAAGGCACATATAAACCATACAGAAAACCCAATGATAAACCACTCTACATACACACATCCTCCAATCACCCATCTTTGATAATCAAACAGATGCCAAAATCAATTAACTGCAGGCTTTCTGACAATTCTTACAATAAAACCATATTTAATGAAGCTAAGAAAGACTACAAAACAGCCCTAAAAGATGGTGGATTCCCGGCAACACTCACATACTCACCATAGAGCACAAGAAAGGCCAACAGGAAGAGAGACATCATATGGTTCAACCCACTGTACAGCAAAAACGTAAACAGAAACATAGGCAAAATATTCTTGAAACTCCTAAACAAACACTTCCCAGAATCAAGCACTCTACACAAAATATTCGATAAAAACACTGTAAAAATAAGCTACAGTTGCACCAAAAAAGCACAACAGGAAAACTATCAACAAACCACCCGAACAAATTAAACCTGCGTGTAACTGTAGAATAAAGAATGAATGTCCCCTAAACAGCAATTGCTTTCAAAACAACGTAATATACCAAACCATGGTAAAATCACCAGATAATAAAGAAAAAGTATACATAGGAGTAACTGAAGGACCCTAGAAACAAAGAAACTATGCGCACAAAGCATCTTTCACAAATAGTAAATACACGAATAGTACAATGCTTTCCAAGTACATCTGGAAAATTAAAAACAAAACGCAAATCACACCAAAAATATCATGGAAATTAAGGAAAACATCATTAGCCTACAACAATCAATCAAAAACCTGCAAACTTTGCTTGGAGGAAAAAATAGCTATTATTACCTTCCCAGGCCAAAATAAATTACTAAATAAACGATCTGAGCTCATCTCAAAATGCAGACATGAAAACAAATTTTTACTACGTTAATTAAAAATCGAAAACTGAAATGAATAAATACAAATAAACAAAATAATTTAAAAACAAGTAAAATAAATTAACCCAAACAAATAATAAACAAATTAACAAACCACTCCCGTTAGAAGAGACGCAATAGAATAAATAAAATACATAAAAAACAAGTAACAACAATCAACCCAAATAAGTAAATAAAGTAAATAATAATAAACAAATAACAAACCAATCCTGTCAGAATAAACTGCAACCACCAATCCAAAAATTGGATGTAAAAATAACCATAATATATTACTCAAAAATTGAAAACCAAATAGAATAAATAAAAATATACAAAATAAAAAACTAATAAAAATTAATCCAAATGAATAAATAAATTAACAAAATTGCCCCTGCTAAAATAACTATTAGAAATAATAAAAATAAGTATAAATAATCAAAAACAAGTAAAAATATTCAATCCAAATAAATAAATTAAAAACTGTCTACACACCAAAATAACAGAATAGACTACGGCAAGCAAACTAAACATTGGACGAATAAATAGATTTAATTATCTTCTCAGATCAAAACAAACTATTAAATAAGTGACCTAGGCAAGTCCCTCCAAAATTTGTTACTACGTTAATAAAACATCAAACAACAAAAAGAATAAATAATACAAACTGAAAATGAAAAACAAGTAAAGTAAATTAACCAAAACAAACAAATAAATACATAAATAAACAAACAAGCCACTCCCGCAAAAAATAACTGTCAGAATAGATTACCCACAATGCACCACTGACCCATATATATAAATAGCCGAGGAAAAATCCAGCATTTGCGACCTGACGATTGTGTCCAACATGAAACAGCCTGTCGCATCTGAGTGTTGACTTCGATATTCACTTTTTTATATATATATATATATATATATATATATATATATATATAAAAAGTATTATATACACATACTGGCAAATTACAATAATACAAATATCCATGAAGACATAAAAAGATAAAACAAAGATATCTTCCTTTCTTTCCCTTTCTCTGGAACATTTTTTTGAGCTAGCCCAAGATGAATCCAGATGATTACTACTACACACAAAAGACAGTGGTTTAAAGATTTAACATTGGAAGAAAAATTCATTCCTTTAAATAATATGTGGAAATAACTATTCTTTGCCTGATGAAGTTCACAAGACCTGAAACTCATGTAGCAAGATATATAGAATAAAGTATATAAAAAAATCTACATTATAATTAAAAATGTTTGTGGCTTTTTCTTTTTTTAAAAAAGAGATATATATATTATTCACACACATGCATTCCATGCAAATTATCTGTAAGTATTTTGTTATATTGAGTTTATTTTTAAATTCTCTCCTGATTCTTGTTAAATATGTTTACTACATTAATGTTATATTGATACTACTTCTATGTTTAAAAGTACTACCAAAGGATATTAAAACACAATAGAAAAGTACTTGAATCTATAATTTTTTTTTTTTTTTTAACTTCCAGTGGTCCCAAGCGTTATGACTTTGAAAATGGAAGATGGGTTTACAAACATGATGGTATCAGTTTACACTCTCTTCTGCAAAAAGAACTTTCAAACATTTTTGATGAAGAAATCTCCATGGAACACTGTGCTTACAGTTGATATTTGAATCCACTCACAATTTGTCTTTATAGTTAAAAAATAAGATAAATAAAATGTAAATTATTTGTTCCATATTTTATTGCTTTTTATTTACATAAAATTGCATTTGTTTTTCATTTGAAAATAATTTGTGACAGTTCTAACTTAATCATTAGTTTCTCTTTTTCACAAGATAATGGTCTTCCAATTGATGACATTTATGAACTGCTTTAATTCCCTAATATTTATGCTGAAATGTTTATCTCATCCTAAAAGAATAGTGATATCCAAGGTCTGATAGGTATCTGAGAACACACTTTTAGCAGTCCTTAAATGGAAGATGATCTAATGTAATTTGTATCATGTGTTAAATTTTTGAGAGTGGACAGGTAAACAGGAAGAATAACAGGTGACACTTCACACCAAGTTCACGTTTGTGGTGGTCTGGGGGTGGGGGGTAGTGAGCAGTGAATGCCATTCCACTTCTCCCATTAGGATTATTACTACTGCCTATATCGAGTTGTTGAACCACTTGATTCAGGCATGCAATAGTCCCCAAGGCCACTTCAAGGTTAATCCTCGAGGCTAATGACTTTTATTGAATTACATTTTCCTATTTTTTGATACATATGTGAATCACTCTAGAAGATAAGCTTGTTATCATATTATCATCTTTTTCTTAATGTCATGTCCCTATAGGACATGGGTGATTATGTCTCTCCACAGCCATAATCCTTTGTAGCTCTGAATAGTGTTTGAATATCCACCCATACTTCTTTGTCCTTGCTCTTCCATCCATCCACAAAAAACATGTTAGGTAGGTTTCTTGTTGTTCCTCTTTGTTCCTTCTTCCCTCAGTAAGTCATGTGAGTATTAAGTCAGGTTCTCTCTGTTGTATTCTCATCATCCATCTGTAGAACCAAATATCTGCTGCTTAAAGTCTCTTCATCTGAGGAAATTGTCTGACATTTGCATTTAGGAATTCAACACTCTTTTCTTTGTTTCTAATGACATTTTCTTAATACTTTTTTTGTTTTCTGGAAGACACTTTTGCTTTTCTGAGAGGCAACATATATATATATATATATATATATATATATATTATTATTATTATTATTATTATTATTAATAGAGATCTTATAAGTATAAGAAACCATACTCACTCGGAAAACCTTTGGTGTGTTGATTTGCAAATAAACAAGCCAATACCAAAGGGAAAAAAGGTATAAAAAAGAAAGAACCAAGAACATGTACGCTAACCGAAAATAATCGTCCAGCATACGAGTCCAAGGCCCAAAGAAAAAAACCCCGATGTGAGTAAACAAAATAATTAAATAAAGTGCTCAATACAATGAGTAGAGCAGACCTAGTTAAACCTAGAGAGCCAGACAAACCTACCAAGGTTTCACCTAAGTGGATCGTCAGAGAAAGCTTTCCCTGATGATCCGCTTAGGTGAAACCTTGGTAGGTTTGTCTGGCCCTCTAGGTTTAACTATATATATATATATATATATATATATATATATATATATATATAATGACTTTGGATGTATACACAGCAGAAGTCATGTCATGTAAACAATTGACTTAATGGTCAGTATTAAAAGAGACTCCAGATAGGTTGTGCATGATTTGGTAACAGTAACAAAAAAATCCTCTTTATCTAAGGTGCATAGTTGAATATTGATAGTATTCTTCAGTATAAAAGAAAACACTGACCTGAAAATAAGGTGAGGCATTTCACTTGTAGTGAGAATGTATCAAGTCTAACATTGAAAGTGTATTTAGTCTTGTAGTTATAGATATGAGGTCGGTAGTTGGGAGAAGGGCTGTAAGTGATTTTCCTCCTTTTCTACAAGCTATTTTAATATCCTAAAAAAAAGGCCAGACAAATAGTTTGACTTCAAACAGATTCCTGAATTTGAAAATTGAAAACTGTCTACTTCATAACTGCTTGGATTGAAAAGGTAATCTGTGTAGGGTGAAGAAAGCCAAGCAAGTTCTGTTATGTTTAATGGGTGGAGCATTTGCCATATCTCAACAACTGAGTAAGGAGTAAATTCAATGTTGAACAGATAAAAAAATGTTCTACACAGGTTTTGCAATGGACTCATTTACAGCCTATGAACCATACAACCAATTCAGTCCATATCTCACATAGTTGCAGAATCTTCTGGTAATATTCAGAGTAATTGGTATGTGCATTTGTGGTGTGATTCCTGGACCATAACAGGTAGCCTTCTGTGCTTCATCCAGAATGGATTCAATGACCTTGAATCAAATACAGGTTAGAACCCATACTGTAAGGAAAGACGAAACAATACCCAGGGAACTAGTACTCATTCAATCAAATGTTAAACATGAATGCCATTGATGTTAAATTCTTAATCATGGACAGAAAGTTGTTGGAATTCAACTTTCTGCTTAGATTGATGCCAGAGAACAGAGTAGAATTCAAGTAACTCAACCTGTCAATGTATGCTTTCCTAAGGGTGAAATGCCTGTAGTCATTAAAATCTCAGCGATCTCTCTTTTCTCTCTATATGTGGTCAACCATGCCTTATTTTTCCACTTCCCCAAAGAGTGTGAGTTCAATACCTGGTTGAGAACTTGAAGAGGGGAATTAACAGGAGATAACTGATAACTGACATCCATTAGACATGGCATGTGGAACTAGAACAGTCTACCCCAGCGAGTGAAATAAAGGGTTCAGTTCAACATTCCAACCACATAGCAAATATATACATGGAATACTTTGAGGAAATGGCATTAGAATCTATATCTCTAAAGCCAACTTTATGGTTAAGGTATTTAGATTATACCTTCATACTATGGCAACAGCAAGAAGATGCTAAGGTTCTACTGGACCATGTGAACTCAATAAGACCTTTGATAGAGTTCACGATGGAGAAAGAGAGTAACAACACACTCCCATTCCTGGATGTTCTAATATCTCGAACAGAGCATGGGTTCAAGACATTTGTATACCGTAAACCAACATTCACCGGTTGTCTGCTGCTTACAACACTGAGCAAAAGTCATAAGTGGTAACCCAGAGACATTAGATAAAGAATTGGTTAGTATAAGTAGTATCCTACAATGTAGCAACTACCCTGGGTACATGGTAGCAGCTCCAATAAACTGGCAAGAGGAGGACAATACTGCCTGCCTTATGTGAAGGGGTTATGAGAGAAAATACAAAGGATCTGCAGTTCATATAACATCAGGACAACCTTCAAAAGCTGGATGACACTTCGCAGATATCTCTCCCGAGTAAGACCCCCATAGAGGAGAACATGATTAAAGACTTTACGTATGCCATCCTGTGCAGCTGCGGAAAGAAATATAAACAGGAGACAGGCCGCCCCCTTAAGATAAGGCTTCAAGAACACTAGAAAGCTGTAACACGAGGGGAAGTGGAAAAATCAGGCGTGGCTGACCACATGGAGAGAAAAGGGAGATCACCGACCTCTGTGGGATCAGGTTGAAATCATAGACAAAGAACATTGGAAAATACGTAAACTTAAGAAATCAGCACATATGCTATGCCACAAAAATCTGAACTGGCCAAGCATAGAAATGAATACAATATGGAAACCAGTCATAAGGAGTGATAATAACAAGAAAAATTGCAATACATGGTAAACATGCAATGATAACAATAAAAATTGCAATATGAGCATTGGTAAAAAAACAGTTACTGAAGACATTAGGTTTATAATACCCAAAAATTCACACACAGATGTCCTCAAGGAAACATGGCACAGTGGATAAAGGCGCTAGTTAGATCCAGTGACAGGACCCAAAGAGTGTGAGTTAGAGAACTGGGAGAGGGGAATTAGCAGGAGATAACTGATAACTGACATTCATTAGACATGGCACGTGGAACTAGAATAGTCTACCCCAGTGAGTGAAATAAAGGGTTCAGTTCGACATTCCAACCACCTGAAGAAGGCCAGAGCATACAATGGCCGAAACATGATAAATATGGCAACAAAGATGAGGACAATAGTCCAAATAATGTAAATAGTGTATATAATAACTCATCTCAGAAATATAGACAGATGTTTTTATTTATGTGAAAGTTGCACAACAAAGTGACTAATATAACCAAATAATCAGTAAAAAAAAAAAAATAGGATCTAAAATTAAATAAGTGGTTTCTGGAATTTGATTGGACTGTACAGTCACATGCTATACTTCCGACTATGTCCATATGTTTGAACTCCAAATGAACTGGTCAGTTGGTGCTATCCTGCGTAAACTGAAAAGCTTTTCTTTTGAGCCAATCACGTGATCAGGATAACTATATATACAGTGATTTTGGGAGCAATAAAAACACAGCAAAAATCCAGTTAGAGGCTGAATGTGGATCACTCATTGATGACAGGTGGTTGGGTTTGTAAACACCTGACTAAAATTCTATTATGACGACCACACACCATTTAAAGTAATATTCACACAACTCAAAGAAATATTCATAGCTGTGGAAAAAAAAAGTCTTATCATTTACCTGTATCTCTATTTCCTTTTGGAACCATCATAATCAGATTTCATATATTAGCACTCACACACAATGTTTCTACTAATGTGCTTTGCACACACACACATTAAGTTATAAGCCATGCATACACTCTGTTAAAATGTGCTACAGACATGCACACATATATACAAACTTTGTATTGACCAAGGCATATGACTTAACAAACTACCCTTTAAAAATTGGAAAATTTTGTTCAACATTTGTTGAACTTTTTAACTTTGATTTTTTATGATCAGGACAAACAATGTTTACCATGTAAAAACAAATATTAATATGTGCATAAATATATGACTATTTCAATATGGATATCCTTTTGCCTATGTAGAAAAGTAATTTCTTTGCGTTATGTTGTATTTGTGAGCACAGCACTAGGTTTTTATTTTTTCACATTTAATTCTGGTAGACTGATCCTACACTCCCAATGTTTTATTACAAATATTTTGATTCTTGAATATGACACCCTACCATCCTTAATCTT